CATCCCACTTCCCCGGCCCCATCAACCGGTACTGGTAGGAGGAGACGGGTCCCCAGAATACATGCTTGAACAGTTGGTAGTCTGTGAAGAAGAGCCAGGGAAGACTCGGCCTCACTCCAATCTCTCCAGCGATGTCGTCCATGTAGGAAACAAAGTCCACCTGCAGTGGGGTCAACTGTGACACAATGTAGCTGTGGAGGTGGCCAACAAATTGTTGTAAGATCAAACATTGAATGGACTGCGAAAAATAGGTGATCTGTTATCGAAGACAATAATGGGAAGTTACTTTTTCTCAATGTCCTTAGTGTCCTTGTCAACAGCTTTGATCATGGTTTGGTTTGAGGGAAGCTTCTTAAGTCCTTAAAAGCAAAAAAAATGATAAAGACATGTTAGGATCACTCAGGCTTTTGAGGGTTTCAACTAACAACAGGAGCATATAAAAGCCTTGCCTCTCACCTTTGAAGACACGTGCCACCCAGCGGGCCTGCATTTCCGCTTGAGGCATGATGGCGCCGAGGGCATGAATGAAACCCACCACACCTAGAGTGGTATGCTCCAAGTTTGGAGGGAACACGTGCTTGTAGAGACCTACTCTGTGGCCTGACTTATAAAGAACATTGTTTGGCAAGTAGGGGAAGCCATAGTTGTACCCCGTGGCGAACACAATTGTGTCTACCTGCAATGAAGAAGACGTAGATCAGTGAAAAGGATTCTGGGAGTGTGGAAAGACTCTTGAAAATACTTAGGAGGAAGATTCTGACCTTTTCCACCGTGCTCCCATCGTCAAACAACACAGTGGAGCCACAAATTTCCTTTACATTCGGTTTGATGATGACAGATCCTGAAAGAATCTTCAGAGGCAGATCGTCATTAATCACTGGGATCTGACTGAAGAGTCTGTGGAGGCAGGAAGGAGAGAGGAACACCAGACTTAGGAGAGATCAGGAGATAATCATCAATCAAAGGGAAGATGCACATCACCAAAGTGACTGACCAGTAAAGAGGTCCAGAAATCTAACCAACTTTGCCTTGAACTTTTCTACACTTTTTCCATAAACATCAGTGTGACTGATGGGATTTTATTCAATAGACTAGGGATCTTCAACTCCAGTCCTCCAGGGTTGATGTCTTGCAACTTTAAGATGTTTCCCCTCTTGCTCTGAGTAATGAGGTCATTAACTTTGGAGAACTTTAGTGCATACTGAGATGGTAATTCAGCCATTTGATTCAGGTGTGTTGGATCAGGAAAACATCTAAAAATTGCAGGACACCGGCTTTTGATGACTAAAGTTTAAGACCCCTTCGCTAGACCATCACTTTTTTTGTGGTTGTAGCATGACAAACATAAAAGCCTTCCAAATGCTTTTTGCTCGGCACTGTGTATTTTCAGGAGAGCACCCACCTGTGTTTGGGCTTGAGGGCGTATGTTGTGTGGTCGTACATGGCGTTGAGTTTCTTCTCTCCAAACCAGTTGAAAAAGTTGATGGGCAGCAGCTGGAAAAGGATGTGGACGAACCTGGTGTTGTACATCATGTCCACCGGAACGCCGTTATCTGAGACCTGACGGATCACCCAGGCGCCGCGACGGGTGCTCATAAACACCTGGGCAACAGAACAGATGCTAATTAACATTCCTGCAAGTAACAGAGAGATGTGTTACCTCAAAAACAAAGACAAGACAAAGAGAACAAGAACCTGCTCTGCAAATTTGCTACTCTCAACGGCGATGTCTCCTCCTGAGTTGCCGATGCCGATGACCACCACTCTCTTCCCGTGCATGTCCTCGGGTCCCTTGTAGTCCCAGCTGTGGAAGTATTTTCCTTCAAACGTCTCAATTCCTGCAGCAGGTATCACATGCTACAATCGCTTCTTGGGTTTTGGAAAATCCGTCACGATTGTTTTGCTATACATTTTCTAACTGTATGTGCAAACTAAACAAGACAAGACCGAGACATACCTGGAAAGTCTTTAAGTGGCAGGTTAGGGTAGGTGTAATGACCGGAGCAGCAGATGACTGCGTCAAAGATGTGCCTCTCCTCCAGTCCATCTTTGGTCTTCGTCACCACCTCCCACTGACCGGTGCGAGAAAAGTCCGGTCTTTGTGTGACTTTCTTTACTGAGGTCTGAAAAAGAAAAACACCCAGCAGTTAAAGAAACAGTCTTGACAGCCCAGATTTTGACCAATAAAGGTTTCTTAAGAATTAGGTTACCTGGAAACGAATGTGTTGCAGTATTTTAAAGTGCTCCGCGTACATCCTGAAGTACTTCAGGATCTTAGAGTGGTGCATGTAGTTTGGGTAATCAGCGGGGATGGGGAAGTCGCTGTAGCACATCATCTCCTTGGAAATGTTGATGGTGAGAGAGCGGTAGATGCTGGCCCTGCTTGGCTCAGGCACTTCCTGCACAGAAAAACAAACAAACACTGTGCAGGAAAAGAGACTATGTAGAAAAGAAAAAAAAAAAACACTGTTAAAAAGAGGGCTGCTTTTCTTCTGCAGGAACATCCCAGTTGACGGGAATCTGGATGGATCTAATAATATGGCAAAACTAAGAGGCTTCAAACCAATACAGTGAAGTTCATGGTAATAATGTGAAAAATGTGGAAAGCATCCGAGAGTGCGAATACTTCCTCGAAGTTGTGCTTGGTGACTAAACATAGGGAAATTCAACTAGAGATGGCGTCTTGCCTTGAACATCCAGAGTCCTCCTATGTCGTCGCTGCTTTCGAAGCAGGTCGGCTCCAAGCCCTCCTCCAGGCAAGCCTTGACGCTGGTGAGACCCGAGGGGCCCGCCCCGATCACTGCCACTCTCTGCACCATGATGGAGCTGCAACAGGACAGAAAATGAACTCAATTTTAGCAAACATACGTGCAGTTTTAGTTGAGCAATTCCACTGTTATCAAGGGTTTAATTTTATTTCCCTCCTCCCCATTTCTCAATTTATCAACTTTCCTCCCTCGTGTCATCCAGTGTTCTTCACATCACTGATATCTGTGATTCCTTATTTTACATAAGTCCACTTTCTGTAAATGCTGTATTGACATTTTAAACCAAAAGTACACCTTTGCAGCAGTTCACTATCTGGCTATTTGCACCCAAAGCAATTAATAGCTCACCTGCTGTCTGCATCGTGTTCTTATCAGCTTTTCCTTTCATGTCCTGTCATAAAATCTTCTCGGTTCTTAGAAGTACAAATCAGGGCAAAGGCAATCTTTCAGTTCTTTGAAAGCATTAGATTGTTATCTTTGTTTTTGATTCGATATTTTAAAGAGTGAACACTAATCAAACGGCCCATGCAAACTCCTTGAGCCCTTTAGTTTCATCTTATTAAACCACACAGGGACTGGAATGTTTTACCTATAAAATGAACAGAAATCTAATGTGCCTCTTCTTACCGTGATGATCCTTATGTGCCTCTGTCCGGTCCAGTTTGGAGGAGCATCACCTGAAGTGCAGTCTTTTATACACAAAGGAACCATCGCAGAGCCTCATAGTTTTCTCTTGTTCCTGACCTAATTGCCCCAAAAGGCTTTTATTGGCTTGAGCAATGTTTACCCAAATCAGTGAGGTTTTACTTTGACTAAAGTCCAGTTTGTTTTCCAATCAAGTGGGAGGGAGACGGCTGGCGGGTGAACGGGCGGCACTCACTGCACACGCTGTCTGCATCATTGTATTATGATTTTTTTAATGCACAATGTCCAGCTTCAATCTACTGAAACACTGAAAGCATCTTCTACGGTATATTGAGGGGCCTTCTCATTTGTTGTGACTTAAATTCACTTGAAGACTAATGCATTCAGATGATTTACTTTAACTTTTATTTCATGTCATTCGTGTGAATTAAAAGGAAATTGTTGCATGTTTGTTTTTTTGTTTTTTTTTTTTCAAATACAAATCTGAAGAGTTTGCTGTGTGTTTGCATTTAGACTCTCCACTCCTAAAATGTGCCCTTGTTCTTCAAATCTACAGTTTCATTGGATCAGGAGCGTCTTTGAGAATCCCTTTTCAAGTATTGCCACAACTCTTGACTGGATTTAGTTGGGAACTTTGACTGGACCATTCCAATTACTGCTATGGGTGATTTTTTTGCTAAATCTTTGGGATATCTTGTTTTATAAACTTAGTAGAGCTTTCTTATACAGAGATTTAATTACAAATGGATAAACTCTGATAACTAAAAGTGACTTCTTGAGGAAACTGGTTGAGTTTTCTGTTGGTTTATCGCGTTAAATCCAAATCAAATGCATTGAAACTTGTGGAGCTAAAGTGACAAAATTTGAAAGAGGTGAACGGATGTACATGCTTTTATAAGTTGCTGTACATCTGTGTCCTCACTTTTTCAGCATAATCTGAACTGATGATTCTTTTGGTTTTATCCTGTTTTACTGAGCATAAAAATATTTCATCTTTGCTGTTTATATACACCTGTACATTATTAAAAATAACAGGGTAGGATTCTAAATGTTGCCTCCCCTCCTGCACAGAAATGTTGATGAACTTTGCCAGAGTGCTGACGTAGTCTAGAATCATTAAAGAATAAGAATGATGAACAGTTTTATCTTACTATAATCTTTTTTCCATTCTGATTAATGGTCCATCTTATGACACATGCAGTCCCTAAGAAATAGTAGCAGAACTTTAATAGTTGTAACCTTCCATGTTATTGTGCTTTGAAATTTTGTATGCATTCATTCAACATCTTGGTTTATTTTCAACTTTTAGCTTAATTGAGTGACTCATTGGTTTTATTTTGATTCACAGATTAAAATATTTCACCACCAATTATGTAGCAATAGTATTTATGAATTGCTCTCTTTTGATCCAAGCACAGAACCCTGATGAACTCCAATATTAAAGCTGCTGTTTAATGCATAATTAAAAACATCTTGTCCTGAAATTATATATGGAAATGAGGAATGACATATCTTTAGGAGCTGAAAAACAAATTAGATTTCTCCAATAATTCGTCACACAAACACCTCAGAAAAGACAGCAAGAGGTTTCAGTTGCGTTCCCCGTTTAATTAAAAATCTTTACATTCAAAGTGTAGAGAATATTCAACAGCAGAAGCAAATGTACTGACACGACAGTGCAATCACACCAACACATATCTGAACACTTCAAGATAAAGCTTCAATACAGTATATCGGTTTTCAGTAAGCAAAACCAAAAACAGCTGATGAGTGCAAAATCTATCCACCACTCAAATATTAATAATGTAGCAACTTATTTTACTTTGCTTTTCTTAGATTAAGGTCTATTCATATTCTTCACAGTAGGACAATCATAAAACAAATTTGGTCATAAATGTGCTATTCAGCATATTGTGATTCGCTACAGCACACAATATGCTGTGTGCTGAAAGGACGCTGAAATCTGGAAAGTCGCCATGTACCGGGAAGACCGTTGGTCCGTTATTGCAGAAAGAGGGCAAAGTCTGACACGGGTCAACCAAACAGTCGCCGATGGAAAAGTTTGTGGAACGGAGCGTGTGGATCTGGCTCAAACCAACCAGCAGAAAGTCACTACAGCTAACCAGAACTTCACACGCCTCAATCAGCCTCCGTGACCCCGTGTTGCTATTAAACACACATAACTGTTGCGTCATCTCCACCGACTGCATCGCTACGATGCATCGACGATTTGCAGAAATGCCCTTTTTATTAATGCAAATATTAAGTGCAAGATGACGATACAAAATGAACTCCTAAGCATGCACACTCAAACACACACTGTGAAATAATAGCTTAAGTCTAAAGGAAGACTCATCGTGTTTAGACACCTGGATGTCAGTCTGGCCCATTTGCAGGTTATTGCCTTTAGAGATCTTAGAAAGAAATGATGAGGGATTTCAAAACAAAGATCAGCAGCATATTCACAAGAAAGGCAACTTTTGCTATTTTGCAGAAGAGAAATAAGATTTAGTTTGGTTTTTGTCACAGTCAGGAAAATGTGTTTGACATTATATAGCAAACATCAGCTCCAGCAAAGATATGTTGTACTGGAAAATGTGCTTGGCTAGGCTAATTCTTTTTGGCATGCTGCACAAACGTCTTTATGTTTTTATTACTCTACGTGGTAAAGAAAGTTACAAAGCTGTACACCACCTGCCGACCTCTATGAACTTTCGGGCCGTATACAGGATCATTAGAGCACAAAACTAAGTTTTCGACACTTTCCAAAGATTTTTTTCGCAGTGTGAACTGGGAGCACAGGCTTGACACACCTGCAGTGGAGGAATTAGTTCATTTTCTGCTAGTTTTCGCATGAAGAAAGGAAAGTAGCGCATCTTCTCTAAAACCTCAGCCTTTGTCTGACTTCTGTTGTTTTTTCCCCCCCTAAAGCATATATTTGTTCTGTTGATTTAAATGATTGACATTCAGAAGAAAATGAGACTTACTCCATGCATCACACATGTAAACTTCCATATAGCAATAATAATAATAAAACAGCACATCTATGATTTTTGTCTTTATTTTCTCTACAGCTAAGGATGTACTGTAATTATTGATCAGTGAATACGTAGCTATAGAGGAGGTATCCATGACGATCAATCGTGTCCTTTGCTATGTGGAAAGCCTGAAACTGTTCTCCATGCAGAGTGGAAAGCTAGCATTGTTAGCTGATTATCTAAACAAACAATATGCTTAGACAGTCTCTCAGAAATTTTGACTTTACAGTTCATAATTCTCTTATTTTCTCTGATTATTTTTGCAAACGTTTCATGTAGGAGTCCTTAAAAACAACAGTTTAGCTTTAATCTAAATGCATATTCTTCAGAGATTTTCTTTAAATGTTGGAAATTCAGGTGAGAATTTGTCCCTCATTAATCATAAATTATTAACAACAGTACGTAAAAAGGAAATAATCAAGTGAAATTAAAAAAAACCTGACACCCAAAGCAGGCGCACGCTGTGACGGATGACTGATGATAAGTGCTAGATGCATATCAAGTAGAAGATTTAAAAACTTATACATGTTCCCGCTGATATTAATATGGCTTAGTGAACCAGAACTTTATGATTGCTGCTGCTGGGTGAAGCAAAATCCACAGATACCAGCAGACATGGCCAAAAGGATCGAGTGTAAACACCCAACATTCGACCCCCAAATCCTTAAAATATCCCCTCAGTGGTCGGATCTGATCTGGCAGAGCAGGGAAACCAGATCGATGCAATGCAACAGACCAGATTATAAGTCAGAAAAAGTGTAAACATGATGACAATACTGATTATAAGAAGCTAATTGGGTTTACTCTGAGTGTGATGGGCTGAGTATAAAATCTTAGGCGTTAATGAATAATGAGAATAAGGAGAAGGAGGAGGACACCATATGGCTGATATTATTATTGATGAACTCCTGGTAATGCATCACATGGTTCACCCAACCCACATGTTTGAAACAACTTTACAAATCTTACTTTAACAACAGTGACCCATCCACAGTAGTAGAAAAACATCTAAACATGCATTAGTTTTTTTTTGTTTTTTTTTTACCGCATCTTATTGATCAGAACTCAAAACTACTTCTTATGTTCGCTTGCCTCTGCATTAACTAATGGAAAATAACAAATGCTATTCTGATCATGTGATTTAAAAAAAATAAAAAAAACAACAAAAAAAACAACATAAGCACAACTTGGTCCTAGAAATGTATTTAGTCACCGTGTGTATCCTGATGAGCAGGTAGGTTGAAAGTTGAGTTAGCTAAAGTGCTAAGCAGAGTCTCTTCCAATTTGGTCTTGAAACCCTTGAACTAATCGCTAACAACATTGTGATTAACGCTAATGATGATCTGCAGAGATATTTGGACCCGTCTTGATGATCTGAACTGCTCATCCAAACACAGGCCAGCTTCAGGACCCCCAGAAGACTCAACCCATGTCTTGCCTGATTATAAACATGTTAGCGACATAAGACAGACCTGCGCAGGTTTAGTTTTGTTTCATAATGCTGTTGATGTTTAGTAGATACTTCCTATCTACAAACGCAAATAAAACGTAAGAACCCCAGTGAATGTCTGTAAAGTAGCAGAAAGCAGGACTTTGGGGAACTCTTCTCCTGAGTCTACCCCAATGAAAACAATTTTACAGCAGAGAAATTAAAGTAAAAAATGTGCAGAGGCCCTTAAAACAAAACCATTTCACCCCCCCCCCCCTCTTCATCTCAGTCTCTAAATTTAAGCTAAAAGCCCTAGCAGCCCCTGTAGAGTTTGTGGAGAGAGCCACAGTATCTCCACCAGTTTGTACTGGCAGTACCCCATCCAAAACCCAAACAGCACATCGGTAACATGGTGTCTGCCCAGCAGCACCCGGCTGAGCCCCACCAAGCCCACCCACAGCAAGACCAGGACCCTGAGCGGCGCAGCCAGCACCAGGTGGGCCAGCAGGAAGCGGCCACACATGGCGGCTCGGGTGGCGTGGCCGGAGGGGAAGGAGTAGCGGTCCACGGAGAAAGTGGCAAACATGTCCATTTGGTTGTGAGCCGGCCGACGCCGACGTACCACCGCTTTGACCGCGCCGACCAGGATGATGTCCAGCAGAAGGCCTGTGGGAGAGAAGAAGACACGGAGGAATATCACAACACTGCAGCACCAAAAGGAGGACTACCTCTATGTTACTAACAATTATTTTAATCTAACAATTATTCTGACGATTAATCGGATAAAAAAAAAAACAGCACAGTCTACAGATTTTTTATAGTATTAGAAATACATTAAATGATGCAAAGAATCAAATACTTCAATTGCTTTTTGAAATAAGAAAATCAGCATTTTATATTACCTAAACTCCATAGCATTCCTTTAGTAAATCTAAACCAGGTGAAGCTAAAACTTACAGACTTCTGTGTAAAACTTATTTACAGACAAAGGTGTTTTTATCGTAAAGGCAAAACATATAGATTTTTTTGTCCAGTTTTGGCTTAATTACTCCCATGACTATGTTGTTTTTTTCACCTAGTGGCCATTTTTTGAGTCTGTACACTCCAGTTAATGATTAATAATTTACTAAATTAGTTGACGATTAATTGTTTCAGCCCTACTCTACATACAGATTGCACATAAGATTAGTGAAGCCCATCAAACTTTAGTCCTGCAGACATCATTGTCTTGGCGCCATTTGGTGGCTGTGTGAAGAAAGTGCATGAGTCTCAGAACTGACATTTGCTCAAATCTGACAACGCGCAATTTTCACTCCAAGTTTATTCATCTTAATCAAGTTTCCAGACTCAGTTAATGCTTGCTGACCCTCAGAAGAGTCTGTATTACCTCATCAGAAACATGTGACATGATTAAACCTCAGAGCGCCTCCTCCTCAGTCCTCCTGGAATCAAGTTTTCCAACACAGACTTGACCTAACACTAAAATTACATGTGCTACTAATAACATTGCCTAATGGCTTTACTCCAAGTGTCCTAATAAGTCCACACAGTATGAGAGACCGATGCATTTTTAAAGTTAATCTCACTAACGTTAACAGGTTTCTCAAAGGTCAGTTTGCCTATTCCCCATTTCATACTTCTGGAGTCCTCTCCCACGAGGGAGTTTTGAACAAACCGTGCATCATTTCGGACCAACAAACGGGATGTTTCTGTGCTCCAGAACTTTAGATTTTCCACTCTGCAAGTAGAAGGCGGTAAATCGTGTTCAGTGAAATGCGAGTTGAAGCTGCCAAATGAGTATTTGAAGCAAAAGCCATTTAGAAATGACAGGAAACAAAACGGGGTCAGGTCAAAACTGTCGATGACAACGAAGCGTAAACCTCTAAAATAACCCGACACCAACAACCACATCCTAGCCTGCTGGGTAAAAGTCTTCAGTGTGAACCGAGCCGATGTCTACTTCTCATGTTAACGAACGCAGACTGTAGATATTGTTTAATGTAAAAACCAGCTAATGTGGCAACAGTGCACTTTAATGTTAGACCATGATGCTGCAGAAATGTTCCCAGTAAGTAAAAGGGAATAAAACCATCAGCTCTGATTAGAGGAGCTTTTAAGACACGCCTGCTGTTTGGGAGGATTTATGTCCGCCAGCAACAGGGTGCTAAAAAATGAATGCAACTCCAGGGCGACTGCCAAAATCTGCTGGGAAACCACCCAGAAGAATAGATTTTAGGAAAATGCTAATGAAAACAAGCATTTCTCATCACATCATAAGCAACACATTCAAATGCTTGGCTTCATTTGTTCTAAATTATTTGATTTTTCTCTTTTTAAAGGTCTAATGTTTTAGAATTTGGCAAAAACTTTTCAGTAAAAATAAAATTAATCTGTCAGTCACTAATCCTAAACTTGAGTCCTGTGGATAATATTGTTTTTATTAATTGGTGCTATATTTAATTCACATCTTACTATGGTATTTTTTGTTACCAGAAGGAAATTGTGAAAATTCAGCCGATTTCCTCATCAGTAAAATACACTTCCTGTGTAGTTTAGAGATGATTTTATTTTGCTTTGAATGACTTTTAAAATCATTACTGGTCGTGGTAACAACACATATTTATATTTATATTTGAAATTCTTACAAGCCTCGTGTCTTCTAGTTATCAGAATCAACTTTATTTTCCAAGTTTGTGGGTACAAACAAGGAATTAGACCTTGTTCTTTTTATTGCTCATGGTCTAATCAAAGTAAAGTTGTAAGAACATTTAGGGGGATGAGTATGAACAACATCAGTATTTACAAGAGAGTAGGAGTACTTTTACTTTAACTATCTTGATTTAAAACACTATGAATGAACTAGATGAATACTTATTTAATTTCTGCTAATTCATTTTAACACCAGCCAATAAATGCAGAGTTTACTTGCTTCTCACTTTTTCCATTCTTTCTAATATTTGTGGTTTTATTTTTTAGTTTCATCAGCACCTATCTGGTTTAGAAATGTTATGCTTCCCTTTATCAGAATCTCATTTAAACCCAGTTGTTTCCTGTGTACATGTTGGATTTTCGCATATGTGACACACTCCCTTGCTTCCTTCCCCCTTATTTAAGTGCTTCACAAAGGTGAAAAGCATCCCAACTCAAGATCTGAATTAATGTAAAAAATAAAATAAAATAAAAAAGCTGGCAAATTTCAGGGGGAGAGGGGGAGTTGGATCAGAAAAACCTTTGGTTGTTTTGTATAACCCTGTTGTTCTCCATGAAATATTTCAGAATCCTGTGTCAGGTGGTGCTTCCACATACAAAGGAAAACATTATGATTGTGACGGGCAGCATCACTCACTTATAGCGAGGATTATGCAAGATGTGGAGGCGGGAGGATGCAGAGAAAAGCAGGGCTATTATGCAGATATGTGGATTAGCACTGAGCCCAGTAGCACTGTGTTGTTTACAATAATGAACGCATGACGGAGCGCATTTACCCATGAGCAGGTTGAGCATGACTTCCTGTCCTGCAGCACTGTCGCTCTTGTACATGGAGTAAGCAGCGCCTGCCAGCCACGGGATGCCGTGTCCGGATACCTCGATCAGCTTCATCAAGGGGCGCGCGCTGCCCCACGACGCGTCCTCGAAGGCGCACACGCTGAGGCGCTTGGAGAGCCAAAGGTCGATGGCGAGCAGGGAGCTGAGCGAGATGCCGATGAGGGACGGGTTGAGCCGTATGCCGTCCTCCTCGGGTGGCCCCTGACCGCTCGCCGAGCCCGTGGAGGAGCCGGAGCCTCGGCGGCGCGAGGGGCTCTCCGAGGCCCGGAGGCGAGCGGTGGTCGGGTCGGAGCCCTGTCGCTGGAGCAGGTGCGGCGGGGAGGAGCGGTTCAGCGGCTTGGTCAGAGACACGAAGTCGAAGTTACTGCCGAGCACCGGGCTGCCATCTCTGCGACCGGCGTTTTTAGCCTTTGGAGAAGGCATTTCCTGTTTTATGCTTTAGTAAGCCGTCCACTCAAGAAAAAAAGGATACGAAAACGATAAATGAAAAATGTCAGCCGCTTTGTGAAGGTGTTCGCTCCTTTAGCTCATCTGTTGATGATTCCTGTCACGTCCGGGTACCTTGAAGCGAACCGCCATATTTGTTGCTCTTTACGCAGAGCGCACTTCTTCTTCTTCTTTTCATTAATGGCGGATTGCAAGTAACTTTTAGGTGCATACCGCCACCTA